GTTGATGGTTTAAAGTATATATGTTATTGATTGGTTACGGTATAAGCCTATAAGGTGTTGTTATTGTTGTAGAGTATATGGTATTGATTGGTTCGTGTATTAGAGTTTGGTTTAGGGTTTAGGGTTTAGGGTTATGATTCAAGTTAGAATAACATAAACCAGATCAATAGAGTAATGTTGGTAAACGAAAAAGTTAGTTAATCTACAAATTCAGACTATTTATAAAAGTACATCCCCATTTCCCACCGTCAATTCCTAAACTTTTCCCTTAATCCGATGGTGAAATACCTTCGATCCTCGTCGCGTGCGTGTCACCCAATCAGATATTGCCGAATTCGGAAAGTCGCTTTTGCCCATAACCAATGCTGGCGTTACCAAGGCCGAGGCAGTGGTAGGGAGTGTAATTTTCAGTAAATGTGAAGGGAGGGAAAGTAAAAGTAATTACAAGTCAATCTATAAATTCGTTAATCAGTGAAGGAGAGACCGTGCTCCGAAACCCGAGTGGCACTCATCTCCTGCTGCTGTTCGTTCCTCCTCCTCTCAATCCCTGCAAAGAACCCTTTCTTCCATCTTCTCAATATGAAACTCCGAAAATCAACCCCATCCGCCTCTTCGTCCTCCTATCCCATGCTTTATTTTCGGGTGCAGTGGTAATGATGAGACTGCGTATTATTTTAGATCTCATTTCCTTTTATTATGTCATTGTTAGATCATGACTGTTAAACTAAATCCTTCTTTGTATTGTTTCTCCTTTTCTCTCCATGCAGGGTCTTTGTTAGAGGCAGGGAGGGGAGCAATGACAATAAGTCGCCGTCTGAATATCGCCGAAAGAATCATCACATGTTGTTGCGATTCCATAATAGGTGTTGTGGAACCCTACGTCATGTGGTGGTTCTTTTGAGCCATATTGACGCGTACTTGTTGATCATGCTCCCAAAATGTATACAAGATAGGAAGGGAAAGTACAGCTTTTTGTTTTTGTTGGACTCTATGTAACATTTGTTTATATTGTATACTGTTTTGTTATTTTTTCTTCTGCTTCTCTCTTCGCTTCCATGGCGGCTTCCAAAAGTGTTTGAGATCTTCTAAATCTGCGAGGGATCCTCCACTCCCAATAAAAATACTGTACTTTATACTATTAGCGTTTGAGATCTTCTAAATCTGCAGGGGATCCTACACTCCCAATAAAAATACTGTACTTTGTACTATTAGCGTTTGAGATCTTCTAAATCTGCAGGGGATCCTACACTCCCAATAAAAATATTGTACTTTATTTGTTGACTACTGAGTCCATTTTTAGAAGTCTTTACGATTGGGCCAACCGGATTTTTTGCCGGATTTCGAACTCTGCTCCTCTGTCGCCACATGCTCTACCTATTTAATGAGTGCTCAAAATTAGTGCAAAAAATACGATATAATAATTGAATAAAAAAAACTAGTTCTCAAGATTATTCAACTGAAATGTTGCACATGATTTATTTAGAGTGCTTAAAAATTGCCTTCAACTGACCATTAATGAGTGCATAAATTAAACGACACCGCAAGAGCCAACAGTCTTCTTATATACCAAATGACTCGGCATAGGAGGACTTCCAGTTTCAGTTCAAGTTTCCAACACCAAGCAAATATATGGTCCCAATTGCCACTTCAGCAACTTTAACTATACATTAATTGTGACCGTGGGTCCTACTTAATTTTCAATGCAATTCAAAATTAATTGGTGAGTGTGTTATATTAATTTGAGTTTTCTCTCAAGTTGTTTTTTGTCGTTGTGTTATTCGAATTATGTAAAGTATTATGATTGGAATTGTATATATGTGTGTGCTGCATGAAAATTTGCAACTGCATGAAAACATTCATCAGATGCAAATTTGCAACTTTTGTAATTGATCCCACATCAATGCAACTCACCATCCCACTTTCACTCCCTTGCCACATCAGCTTGCAATTCTCAAGAATTGCACCATTGGAGATGGTCTAAATAAGCAAGGTGTTGATGGTTTAGAGTATATATGGTATTGATTGGTTAGGGTATAAGCCTATAAGGTGTTATTGTTGTAGAGTATATGTTATTGATTGGTTCGTGTATTAGGATTTGGCATTGCAAGAAGAATTCCTAATTTAGCAATCTTGCTAGTTTAGAAAAAATATCCTAGGTGGCATTGCAATCTTGCTAAATAATGGTGCCACCTAGGATTCCACTAAATAAGCAACGGGATGGATTGGTTCGGGTATAAGCCTATAAGGTGTTATTGTTGTAGAGTATATGGTATTGATTGGTTCGGGTTTAGGGTTTAGGGATTCGGGTTTAGGGTTTAGGGTTACAATTACATGTACCAAATCAGTAGATTAATTTTGGTAAACGAAAAAGTTAGTTAATCTACAAAGCCAGTCTGAAAGCACATCCCCATCTCCCGCCGTCAATTCCTAAATTTTCCTTTAATCCGATGGTGAAAGAGCTTCAATCCTAACCGCGGCGTGTCACCCAATCAGATATCGCCGTTTTTGGAAAGTCGCATTTGCTCCTAACCAGTGCTGACGTTACCAAGGCCGAGGCAGTGGTAGGGAGTGTGATTTTCAGTAAATGGGAAGGGCTGGAAAGGCAAAGTAAATTTATGAGCTCATTTATAAATTCTTTAATCAGAGAGGGAGAGACCATGCTCCGAAACCCAAGAGGCACTCATCTCCTGCTGTTGTTCGTTCCTCCTCTCAATCCCTGAAAAGACCCCTTTCTCCCATCTTCTCAACCCCGAAAATCAACCCCATCCGCCTCTTCGTCCTCCTGTCCATGCTTTATTTTCGGGTGCAGTGGTAAAGATGAGACTGCGTATTATTTTAGATCTCAGTTCCTTTAATTATGTCATTGTTAGATCATGACTGTTAAACTAAATCCTTCGTTGTATTGTTTCTCCTTTGCTCTCCATGCAGGGTCTTTGTTAGAGTGTAGGGAGGGGAGCAATGACAATAAGTCGCCGTTTGAATATCGCCCAAAGAATCATCATATGTTGTTACGATTCCATAATAGGTGTTGTGGAACCCTACGTCATATGATGGTTCTTCTGGGCGACATTGACGCGTACTTGTTGATCATGCTCCCAAAATATATACAAGAGGGGAAAGTTGCCATATGTATAGTATAAAAGTGGGAGGAGGGAAAGTACATTGTTTTGTTTTTCAAGATGTGTACTTTTAGTGTTTGAGATCTTAATAATATATCGGTGAGGGATCTTTCACTCAATAAAAATACTGTAGTTTATTTCTTGATTACTGCCTCCATTTTCAGAAGAGTTGTGGACAAATTCCAAGGACGGAAAAGGAGTGTGCTATCTGCCTGCTGAACTACAGGTTGTGGTCCGATTATACTTAATGACAATTTCCTCTCACCAAAAAAATTACAACACATGTTTTTTTAACGTGAATCATATTGTGTTGACAAAATTTCAATTGTGCAACTACCACATGGGCAGGAACTAGTGATTTCATGTGGAATAACACCCAAGATGGCATTAGACCTATACGAATCAAAATTCCTTAGTCGAACCAATATGGTGAACAAGGTAAACTGTTCGTCTTAATAAGTATTACATGGTTTGCAGTTTATTTTTTTAATACGTGTTGACAATTTCCGCATATGTAGGTGTGTGTTCCGATGAGAGATAATGCACATTGGTACTTGGCTGTCATTAAGTTGGACAAGGAAGAAGTCCATATCTTGGATCCACAACCAAATGAAGACCGCAATTCCTTTCGACTACAATCTGTTCAAACAATGGTAAATTTGTGACATTGTGCCGTTATAACGCAAAAAAATGTAAATAACTCTTTCTAAGTACAAACGTTTCTTAATTTGTACAGATGAGCTTTATGCAAGCCTTGTGGAAGATTCTCTATCGTGAACAAGGTCCGGGATTGTCGCCACCAAGGATTGCAGAGTTTTCGTACCCAACTCCTTCAAAGGATCAAGAACAACTTCATCGGTAAGTATGCCCATTTTTTGTGATATTAAACGACGACTTATCAACTTGGTTCTTATCACGCAATGCTTTTATTTTATGTAGGTCTGACAGTGGAGTCTGGGTATGCATGTGGATGTATGGCGCAAGCTGGGACTCCTCTTATATTTGGGTAAAGACAATTCTAATTCGCATATTAGAAAACCACAATTGATTGTTATTTTTGAATCATGCGGTAAGCACCATGTTTGTTGATGTTGATAGCCATGCACTCAAGTGAGGAGGATGCAGATCGCTTTATACCTTGTTCGAGAGCCCATGAACTACATAAGGCATATGGTGCTCACGGAAGCAAGAAAAGTTGCACCTCAAGTTGAAGCTGCAGTGGATAGGGGTGTACATGGGTCGGGTGGGTCGGGTTTGAACCATTTAAGTCACCCGTTGTATAGACTACGGTTTGAACAATGTCAAACCCAAACCCACCCACTAATATAAAAAACGTTGTCGGTTTGCTTCGGGTTGGGTCGGTTTAATTTGGACCATGCATCCATAGAAAACCAACCCAATACAAGATATCACCTGCTTCAATTTAGTAAAATTTTGTCATTCTCCTGTTTCACTTTTTCCTTCAATTTAACAAAGACACATCTGTAAGTTATAGCAACAATACATAATTCATAATAAACTAGACATCCTCCTCCAAATAGTATCTTCATTACATCATTCCTATTAGAACACATAAAAGGAGACTAAATAAACATCAACTGCTGTTTGCATCTCAAAAACCTGGCAATTTTAGCAGCCAATACTAAAAGAGTTTAATACTCTTCCATCATCAAAAGAATGTTGCATTTACAAAATTACATGATATCTTCCCGTCTTCAATTAAACTATACAGCAGCATCTTCACTTAAGCTTTACAGCAGCAGCAATGTTAATGTACAAAAGAGCTCCTACAAAATTGTGTAAAGCAACATATATATTAGTATTAGTAAATGAACGAACTTGAATAAAAGTAAATTAAACCATCTAATCACCATTTACTATCTAGGCATCAATAATAAGTCCATCATCTTCAGTCAATATGAATGGACTTGAATCCAAGAAGTCTGGCAGAAAAGGGAAATGGTTAGCTACTTCAAAATGAAAAGTAGTCAATGTAAGGAAATAACTCAAAAAAATCAGCACATTACCATTAGCTTGATCTTCATTTGGATCTGAAAGAGCATCGAGTGGAACAGCCTCTGAGTCATTTATAAGTGGCTTTGAACGCAACCAATTTTGAGTACACACAAGTGCCTCAACCATTATTGGAGCAAGACTTGTTCTAGAAGGGTCTACAATGCGCCCACTAGTGCTGAAAGTTGACTCACTTGCCACAGTTGACATCGGAACAGCTAATACATCTCGTGCTACTTGAGCAAGAATGGGATAGATTGATGAGTTAACTTTCCACCACAATAATATATCAAATTCATCCTTCAATTTCTCACAAGGTTCTGCTAAATACTTGGCACACTCTGATTTTCCTCCAGAACTGTCCTTTTCTTCCATTGCTCTTGCAAATCTTAATTGTCTCAACTTTGCTGGATCCTTTTCAGCCCCAACAAAACTAGTAGTAGAATCTGATCCTCCTTCACTAACAACCCCTTTCTCCTTACCACTACTTCCAGAATCAACCAAATACTGATCATACAAACGGTTTAACACCTTTTCCACATTGTTAGTAAGTTGTTTAGCATGAGCTTCATTGTACAAATCCTCAAAGCAGTACTTGACATACCGAAGCTTATATCTAGGGTCTAAAACAACAGCCACATACAACAATGGATTAAGATTTTCAACATTCACCCAGTATTTCATAAACTTTGACATCATCCGAATGGACTTGTCTCTGAGCATAGCATCATCACTTGATGACAAATGAACCATTTCATCTTGCAAAGCAATTAACTCGTGAAAGAACAAGTTTGAAGTTATACTCAATGTGCTGGAAAATTTCAAGGTCACCATATAAAATAGCTCAAGAAATTTCAGCAAGCACCTAGCTTTATCAAAGTCATCATCCATTGGTGGTCCTAATAACTTGTTCTTTTTCTTCCCCTTTCCCCTTGTATTTCCTACTCCATTTCCATCATCAGCCCCACCATCAATCTCCTCATCACCACCATTAAAGTACCCTAAGTACTTAGAATCTTCATCAGTCATCCTTGCAAATGCTTTTTCAAACTGTTCAGCTGCTCTCAACATCACATATGTTGAATTCCATCTAGTTTCAACATCAAGACCAACTAATCCTTTGAATTTTATCTCTTCCATCTCAATGCATCTCTTAAAAATCAATAGTCTTGCTGGAGAAGACCGAACATACCTTACAACATTTCTAATTTTAATGACTGAATCATCCAATTCTTTCATTCCCTCTTGTAAAATCAAATTCAAGATGTGAGCAGAACACCTAAGGTGCAAAAATTCATGCTTTAATACTGTTCCACCAGTATTTTTACTTCTTCTCACAATGTACTTGATGGCACTATCATTAGTGCTCGCATTGTCAACTGTTATAGTGAATATCTTATGAATACCCCACCCTTTCAAACAACCCTCAATTGCTTGTCCTATAGTTTCACCCTTATGATTAGCAATTGTGCAAAGATTCAGAATTCTTTTATGGAGTATCCATTCATTGTCTATCCAATGTGCTGTAAGACACATGTAGTTAAGATTCTGATTTGAAGACCAAGTGTCTGTTGTTAGGCACACTCTTTGAGTCTTTATCACTCTTTTTAACTTCTGTTTTTCAGCTTCAAATAATGCCAAACAATCTCTACTAATTGTAACTCTAGAAGGTATACTAAATTCTGGACGCAAAGCCCTAGAATACCTTCTAAACCCTTCCTTTTCCACATCTCTGAATGTTTTTTCATCTGTGATTACCATCCTAGCCAGCTCTTTTCTACAAATTTCAGCATCATATCCTAATGCTTTAAGCCCACCAATACCTCCCCCACTCTTTGGCTCAAAACACAATGTCTTTTGTTTCTTATCATTCTCATATAAAGGGCACTTTGTGCATTGTTTTTGGAGATGAGTCCATAAATTACTAGTTCCATGCATTTGTTTATCAGCGGCATAAGACTTCCCACAGTAATTACAAGCTGCTCTAGCAGTTTTCTGCTTTTTACTTGCTGGAGTCCAAGTGAAGTGGCCCCAAATTTCAGACTGAATAGATGGCTGGCTACTAACCTGAACTTTAGTTCTTTTCATCTTTTGAGGCTTAGGAGGAAGGGACGTACCAGCTTTTGCACCCGCTGCAACATCATTGTCATTTCCTTTATTTTGAGGTAGAATAGTGCCAACAACAGCAGAATTCGGTTCGATTTCACCCCTACTCTCTGTAGCAGTAGCTATGTCCCCTTCATTCATGGTAGGAACCTCTCTATCCATCTGTATAATAAATAAAAACACTATATATTAGATCAATCTTAATCTAAGAGGTAAAAGAATGAAAGGGTTAACTGGAGAAATTAGGGGAAGAAAGTGCATACAACTCAACAATGAGTTGGTAATCCTAGAGATTACAGGACAAAGTAACAAATATTGCCCACAAAACACAAAGTTTGGGGGGATTGGTTTGTTCGGCCCACAAAGAGATAGCAGCAGCCGACAACATATACATCCCTTGCCCCCACAACTTCCCTAAGTCATGCTTTTTTCACTAATGATTTACACTACACTTTCATAAAGGCAGTTCAGTAAGATTCTAGCAATTTTGAGCAAATCCTGATGGGATCTCACAGCAACAAACTTCTGTCAGTATGCCTAATGGTAATCGGTAGGGGAGAACAATAACAAATCAGAGTAACATCATGTAACAGAACGCTAAAGCAGCAACCTTAGCCGGCTCAAATTCTTAATTCGTGAAAGAAAGAACAAAACCCTAAAATAGCACAGTCTCGACCACCTTGGAACGAGTTGAAATCAACTCCTGCTATCACGCCTGAGCGGTCGTGCCTGCACAGGTTCTACTGAGATGGCCGATGGCCTTCAATCTTTAGCCTTCAGTGATGGTTGCCTTTGGTTGGAGAAGAAGCAGGGGAAAAGGAATTGAGAAGGCGATTATAGAGTTAAGCTTCCATGATGATTGTTGAGTAGCATAAAGCTATTAATGATGGACCAGGTGATGTTTGGTGGTGGATGGGGGCAGGGTTAAGATCAGGTGACTAAGGGGGGTACCCTTAGTCACTTGGCTAAGTTAATCTCAGCCTTCCATGCTCATTAAAATCCTAAGGCTACAATTAATTTATTTTAAGGAAGGACAACATGGTAATTATACATTTTAATTTTGTAAATAAAAAAAAAAGAAAAAGAGTCCTTCCCTCACCTGTTTGTCGCACGCGGAGATGAATCCACAGAGACGGCGGCGGCCATGGACGATGGCGGCGAAGGACGACGGTGGCCAGGGACGACGACGGCGAAGGACGACGGCGGGTCGATGGCGTTCTGTGTTCGGGGGAGAGAGAGAGAGGCGGAGGTAGAGGAGAAGAGAGAGAGAGGCGATGGCGACCGTAGAGGAGAGAGAGGGGCGGCGGTAGAGGAGAAGAGAGAGAGACGGCGGTGGCGGCGAGGAACAACGACGACGACGGCGAGGAACGATGGCGGCGGTGAGGAACAACGACGACAAGAGAAGACGAGAGGGACGACGACCGTGGAGGAGAGAGAGGCAGCGGGGGTTGAGGAGGAGAGAGACACCGACATCGCCAATTTGTTGGCGGCGACGATTTCGTAATTTCATCATTCCAGTTTGTATACTTTATGTTATGATTTGTACTGTTTGTATGTTTTGTATTGTTTTGTACGTTTAGTATGCTTTGTACTGTTTGTCGGGTTATTTTGTAATGTTTGTACGCTTTGTTATTTTGTAATGTTTGTTGGTTTCTTTTGTATTGTTTGTAATCTTTGTATGACTATTTTGTATATATTGTAATTTGTAATTTTTGTTGCTCTAATTTGTATACTTTTATGTTAAGATTTGTATACTTTGTATTCATTTGTTTGTAATACAAGTTTATCAATCTGTATTGTAAGTAGTGATATTTTGTACGTTTAGTATGTTTTGTACTGTTTGTCGAGTTATTTTGTAATGTTTGTACGCTTTGTAATGTTTGTAATGTTTGTTGGTTTCTTTTGTATTGTTTGTAATCTTTGTATGACTATTTTGTATATATTGTAATTTGTAATTTTTGTTGCTCTAGTTTGTATACTTTTATGTTAAGATTTGTATACTTTGTATTCATTTGTTTGTAATACAAGTTTACCAATCTGTATTGTAAGTAGTGATATTCTGTACGTGTAGTATGCTTTGTACTGTTTGTAATGTTTGTTTGTAATGTTTGTAATGTTTGTTTGCAATGTTTGCAATGTTTGTTATTTTGTAATGTTTGTAATGTTTGTTGGTTTCTTTTGTATTTGTTTGTAATGTTTGTTATTTTTGTCCACATGTTTGTCATTTTTGTCAACCATGTTTGTAATGTTTTTTGCATCACAAATCAATACATATAAAGTATACAAATTATTAGTACTTACAATACAAAGCGAAACATACTAAGAATACAAGCAAAACATACTAAGAATACAAACTGTCAAAGAAAAACATACTAAGAGTACAAACTGTCAAAGAAAAACATACTAAGAGTACAAACTGTCAAAGAAAAACATACTAAGAGTACAAACTGTCAAAGAAAAACATACAAACTATACTGACATTTTGTACAAAAATACTAACAATACAAACTAATGTTACAAAACATACAAACTATACAAATCACTGTTCTTCCTTCAGATGACGATACGATGTCTCTCCACGCCGCCGCCGACGTCGCCGTCGACTCTCTCTACAGCCGTCGTTACCTCTCTCTCTCCATCACCGCGCCGCTTCTATCTCCTCCATCGTCGTCGAAGCTCTCTCCGCCGCCTCTCTCTCCTCACCATCGTCTCTCTCTCCTCTGTTTTCCGACGAGTAGATCTACTTTCTCTCTCCAAGGCTGCCGCCTCTCTCTCCTCCAGCGTAGCGGCGCCGCCATCTCTCTCTCCATCGACATCGTCGCCTTTCTCTTTCTCTCTTTCCTCCACCGGCGTTCGATCTCTTTCCCCCTCCGCCATGGCTTTCTTTCTCTCTCTCTGGACATCGCAGCAAAAACGGGAAGAGGAGGAGACGGTTGCAGAAGGCGTCGGCGCTTCTCTCCATCGTCGCCGTCGGCGCTTCTCTCACCGTTGCCGTTGACGTCGACGCTTCTCTCACCGTGGCCGCATCTCTATCCTCTCTCTCTCTCTGTGAACGTGAAAAAAGGAGACGGTTGGAGAGAATTGGAGAGGGGAAAAGGAAAAAATAAATAAAATGGAAAACAGGATTTAATTATTTTTCTAAATGCCAAAACTACCCCTCTGATTAATTGCTAACCCTTCCTTCATCTGGACCATTAGATCTACCCATTCTAATCTAAGGGCTAAGGGGAGCTTAGCCACTTGACTAAGCACCCCCCCTTAGTCACCAGATCCGGACTCGGCATTTCTAGTCACTGATCGTGGATTATTGGAGGTTGGAGGTTTGGCGGCAGAGAGCTTCCTCAAGCTCGAAAGATGAAGAGGAAAAGAAACCCTAGATTTTAGGTCAACCTCTCTTTATATACATACACAAAATTAAAAGTCGGGTCGGATCGGGTTTGACGGGTTTCGCCACCCCAAATCCGGATCCAATCAGATATATATATATCCCCCACACACAAGTAGGGGTGGAAATCGGTACGGTATCGGTATACCAATACCAAATACCGAAATCCCGAATACCGAATTACACCCTAAAATCAATCCCAATCCCAATCCCTAAATAATTTCGGTATCCCAATCCCAATCCCTAAATAATTTCGGTATCCCAATCGGTATCTCGGTATCCCAATCGGTATTAACGAATACATAATTAATTACCTTTACAATTAATAATTAAATATATAAATTAGATTTTATTGTTTAATTTAGGGCAAAGAGACTAAGCAAATAGTCTTGAGTTGCCTAGAGCTAACATCTCAAATTCTTGTAATTGGTAATCTTTAATTTGACGAATTTGAGGTTGAGAGACGACTAATACTAGTGTGAAATAGTGATGTAATGATCTATGTATAATTAAATGACGAATTTGGTGGTTGATGGTCGCGTAGTAGTGAATGAGAGAGTCTAGTTGAGAGGATTAAATACACACTAGCTTATATTTCGGTATTGATCGGTATTTCGGTATATACCGATCCCAATCCCGTAATCCCTAATACCAAATAACAATTGAAATTCAATCCCAATCCCAATCCCACAAAATGATACGTGTATTCGGTAATACCAAATATAGACAAATTCGGTACGGTATTCGGTATATCCCAAATACCAGTACCAAACTTCCAGCCCTACACACAAGCCCTTTATCCGCCACTTAACCTCCAATTTTTACTAATTTCCGGGTGGGTCGGGTTGGATCGGCTGGGTGGGTCGGGTTTCGGGTGGTTTTGTTCACCCCTAGCAGTGGAAGAATACAAGAAAACCCATGAAAGGAGGAAAAAGTAAAGAGAAGAGCACAAGGAAACCCAGTCAACGAGCCCAAGAACAACCTGATTTTGCGTTTTAGTTTTCAAGATGATGGACAACAATTATGTTTTTTTTTCTCAGGATGATGGACAACCGTTTTTTATTTGGTTCGGTGAATGCTTTTTATTTTTGGTTTTTATATTTGGTTTGGTGAATGCTTTTTATGTTTGGTTTTTGGTTTGGTTTGGTGAATGCTTTTTATATTTGGTTTTTGGTTTGGTGAATGCTTTCTATATTTGGTTTTTGGTATTGTGAATGCTTTCTATATTTGGTTTGGTTTGGTTTGTTTTTTCGTGGAAATGGCAAAGGGA